TTATGTGTGGCTGTTTTTGAGAAAGGTTCAAAAACTGGGCAGTTTAAGTGTATCATGTTAGTGCTTTATCACCTGCAATAGCTGCCAACCTATTAACAGTTTGGGATCACTGAAATATTCCCCTCTTCAACATATTTCTCTCCAGGATCTCCACCTAAGCAAAAGAGATGAGTAGCTGTCAAGAAGAAGACTTTCTAACTGGAGACACATTAGCAGTCAAATGGTCTCCCCAACAAAGAAGCTCATCTGACACTCAGCTTATTATCATTTTAGCACCGCCAAAATTGTTGAAGAAAAAATGAAGGATGTAATAAATGCCTATGTTTTCTGTTGGCTAGAGAAAAGAATTCCAATAAACTTCAGGAGAATCAGATGAAGGAGGTAGTTTATGTGTTTCTAACAATATGCTGTTCTGATTTTAGGTGGGATTCATGAATGATGGTAAAATCAAAGCTGTTGACCTTCTGCTCTTCATAAATGCTGGATGTACACCAGATGAATCTGAACTGGTAGGTTTCTTTATTACAGAAGATTCATAGGTGGGAAAAATATATTCAGTGCTAGCTGAGAGAAAAAATACTGTATTATACTTGCTGATGAAAGAATATAAGATGAATACTTTATTTCAGGATATACTATGCAGTTCTAAAAGAATTAAGGGGATTTAAATCTGAAATGAATCCCTTAAATTGAAAGCTCCTAGGGACAAGGGAAGACACCTGTAGAGACTAGCATGCATGCCAGACTGCAAACTCAGATTCACAAGCCACATCTCCTCAGATTAGAGATGACTCCTTGTTAAGGTCAGATTACCCAGCCCTTTCTTCTGCTGGATACAGAAAAAAAAAAAAAGACTTTTTAAAGTGGAGTAGAAGAAATGAGTGGTGAGACACTGGAAAACAGTAGGGTTTCCATCACTCCCTACAGCCTCTGATGAACATTCGAAATCTCCAAGAAGCTGGAAAAGTCCAAGAAATTGGAGCAGAGTTGCTTTAGGAAGCTTCTTGTTTCTATTGAAATAGGAAAATACATGGAGCCAGGTATTTGTGCTAGGTTCTCCCCCCCCCCCATTTTCTGCCATGTGCTAAGTCTCAATTTATACAAACTAAGCGATTTGAAACCAAACTCCTAGCAAAACTACCATACAGTGCACAGCTGGGATGATTTCCCAACTTTGTACCACTGGAACCTGTTCAGTCCAAATTCCTGAGAGCAATCTTCAAAGTCCCCTGCTGTGTCTCTAATGCAAGCATACATATGGAAGCTGGAATGGTGAGAGTGGGGACTAGAATATGGCAGACCACATTAAATTATTGGCTAAGACTGACACTCCTTACAATTTTGCCCCTGCAACCTTAAAGGACAGATTTCAAACTATGGGGAAGCAAGCAATTCACAGCAAGCTGTCACCTCTAGGGCCTTCACCTTCTTGGTTACTCTTAGTGGGCTTCAAGCAACAACACTGTTGCTCAAGCAGTGCCTGTTTGATGTAGAACACAAAATTCATGCAGGCACTACCCTCCAGCTCTTCCTGATTGACAGTGTGAAATACATCGTAGCATCAGCTACATATCTCATGCACTTAGATGTCCTGAACCAGAGAAGGGCTTTCACCCACCCTAGTCCAATGCAATGCTCTCCAAGGATCACTGCTGGAGGATAGATACAAAAAAATACCATGATCATGACAAGTATGTCCCTGTGAGTCAGAACAGGTACTCAGCAATTTTGCCAATTTTACAAGGAACTCCACAGAGCCCTAATTACTCTGTTTCTGAACAATATTACAGGATTCACATCACCCAACAATATGCACAATTCCTGCTATTTAACATCAGCCCCAAGACAACATGTAAGCTAGCCAGGTTCTGCATGGCTGCATATAAAATAAGGCATGTAATATCTAAAAGGAGCTGAACCTGATTATGGTCTGCTAGATATGGCTTACTCTGTTTAGTCTCAACTTTAAGCCTATGTCATATTTGCCTTCTGCTGCTTATTGACCACAATAACAATTGATTTGAACTTGAGTTATGCAACCAGGTGCTTAATTTCCACGTTCATCCATATTTCATGCTTTGTTCATGAAGATTTTTTTTTGTACAGAATCTTTCTGTGATCTATGTTTTGTACTGAGGGCTCTTTGTTTATAGCAGACCAGCTCCACTTTGTGGTCTGCCAGTGTATTGTGTTATTTTTTGGATTTTTCTTGTTTTTATCATAGTTGCAAGCTGCTATATATTACCATGACTGCAATTCCTTTCACATTGAATGTCCATGTTTTAATACTTGAAGTTAAAAAGGGGGGGGGCTGAATCATATAGTCACCATATCTCTGCTATATGGTTAGATGGATTGGTGGCATTATCAACATTATTTCAATTTTTCCATTTTGATGCTTAATTGTTAGAAGGGCAGTTCTGGGTATAAATGCCTACTCTCTCTCCCCACAGGTTAGCAGGTGGATGTCAGATGATAGCTTCTTGGAGGATAGGTAGTGATGGCAGGAATCTAAGGATGCTGAGGATTAAAATATGAGGGTAACTCCATAAGACATAATGATTAACAGGTTTATTACCTATCCCCACTAACTAGGTAATAGAGTATGTGGTGCTAAAATGTTATAATGCATATGATATCCCCAACTTCCGAAGCCAAGGATGGGCCTGCAAGACAAATTTGCCATCAAACACTGCATTCCGAGGGTTTGGATTTGCACAATCAGCCCTAAGTGCAGAGATGTGGGTAGCAGCTGTGGCCGACTACCTTGACCTTCCACCTGACAAGGTAAATAAAGGATTGCAAAAAAGGTGTGTTGAAGCCTTTACCGTGATTTAGAGTGGGGCCACAGCGTTACCTTGGCATTTGTAAATATAGCATAGATATGTTGGTCTTCACTAGCAGAGTAGAATTGACAGAATGGAGAAGGATCTGAATCCCTTCTATTCCCACCAATTTTCCCCATTAAGTACACCTAGGGGCCTTTCTCCCAGCCAGACTTATTTCCAGTTAGGGAGCTTGGCTGGAAGGGGCAAAACTCATAAGGCCATGGATAAACAATATTTCACAGAATCATAGACTCATAGTATTGGAAGGGAGCACAAGCTTCCTCTGGTCCAAGCACTTACACCATTTGTGAGAGATGGCTGTCCAGCCTCTTCTTAAAAAGTTCCAGAGATGGAGAATCCACAATTTCCATTGGTAGACTGTTCTCCTGTTGCCATATCTTACTGCCAGGGAAGTTTTCCTTATATTTGAACCAAATCTAGGTAGATGCAACTTATATCTGTTATACATCATAGAGATACTTGTATTTCCCTTGCACTTTAGTACTAACAGGGGTTTACCTCAATGTGTCATTTTGTCATCACTACGCCACCTCAAACAGCACAACTCCCCACTGCAGGCTCATGACAAATATCAGATAACACTGAAAATCAGCTTCTCTCCTCATGCCAGATAATTGCATGATTTATTTATTGTTTTAATTGTTGCAATATTTCTGTACCAACCAGTAGCCATGATTCATCTTTGGAAGATGACTTTCTGTCCCTTCCAGTTTAAAGATTTATACAAGTGCTCATCCTGATGGTGAAAACTGAGGTGTCACAATGTAACTTCCATAAACCATTCTTTTGGATTTTCCCAAGGAAGCATTCCAGATTCTCTTGACATGGGTCTTGAGAAAGATACTTCAATGGATCTAAAGCACAATTAGCTTTTTTCTGGTTTGTGGGCACTTAGGAGTCATTCTAGAATAATTCATCTGGGAGAGCAAAAGGATGTGAAGGTTATTTACTGTGGGAACAAACTGTGATCTTTCTACAAAGAAACAGTCTACCTTAGTGCTTAGACTGTCCTCAAGCAGTGCTGCTGGAAGAACACTCTCATGAGTGCTAACTTTGGGGACTTTTCAACCAAACCAACAGCTCTAAGCCACTCAGTGGGGGACAGCCCCTGCTTTGAGGAGACTGGACAACTGGTCCCTGCTGCCTCCCCTGTTTGGTCATTGGACTTGGATGGATATAAAACATCTGATGTGACAGAACTCTTGTTGTTGAGTAGGTGCCATAACAACCATTTCCATTTCTCAGTGTCCCAGATAAATATTCAGCTGGGGGCATAAGTATTGTGGGAAGCTCAAAGATAGTGGTGCAGCACAACCATCAGCAGTAACGTCAGCCCTATCAGAGCACTTGAACACTAGCTGTTATTTGGAACTGATGCCAATCCAATAAAATGTGATAAGTTGTTCAGCAAGTCTGCAGGAGTTGATCAGCTGAAAAGGAATCCCTGCAAATGCATTATTCTGTCCAGGAGCCTCCAGCTCACCCACCCCATAGGCCAAGCACTGGGGGAGCGGGACACATTTTGTTAGCTTGATCATAAATGTGAAGGGAGAAAGAAATACATTTATTTATTAATGTCTCTCTTCATATTTTTCAAAATGATCATTCAAAACTTGGCCATTAATCTTTTGTGAAAGTTATTGCTATTTTCACAGCAACGGTCACTTTTGTACCATACTGGAGTCATCCCTATAGCTAGTATGTTTAGGGGAAAAAATCCACTGGAGAGATACATATGAGAACTATGTGCATGTTCTATGAAAATACACTGATCAATTTGTACAAACTTTGCTATTTTTTGCTTCTTTTTTCTTCCATCTTTGCCAAAAATGTTAAGGAGGGATTTATATGATTATGTTTAGGAAACATAATAGGCAGCATCCTCAGTGGTGTACAGAACATTCTGAACTGAAATGTTTCAAACTCAAAATACTGTATTTTGAACACAAGTAGAAAAGAGCCTGCCTGGGGCAGTATAGACAGGGTGGGGAGTAAGGCCAAAGCACTGGGCAGACAGAGGTCTGTATGCTGTGCGCAATGGCTAGGACTGCTTGCCGCTCTTATTCATAGGACAAGATTTTGTCCAGTCTTCAGCCTCCCCTTTTGGGAGATGGTTGTTGAGAAGATGGTCAGGTTACAATTACAGATAGTCCAAGAAAAAATTATCTGGACCCTTTTCAGTCAGGACTCAGGCCAGGACATATTACTGAGACAGCACTGATTGTGCCTGTGGCAGACTTGGCATGGGAATGATAATGAGATTGGGGGGGGGGGGGGGGGTAGAGGTCACATCCAAAGTCCCTGATTTATGGGTGCCACAGAGTTTGACATTCTCACTGCTCTTGTTTAATATGTACATGAGGCCAGTTGGAGAGGTTTACGGTCAGGTATCATCAGTACACTGATGATACTCAGCTGTACATCTGGGTACCTGGCTGACCAAGCGATGCTGTCAAGGTCTTGTCCTAGTGCCTTGAGGATGTTGGGGTTTGGATGGGAAGAACAGGCTCAAGCTGAATCCTAGGCAAGTCTGGCTGTGCTTCTTGGACGCCTGGCTCCAGGGATCTTCCCCCTCTGGTCCTGAATGGGGTTGCATTAACCCACTTGGGACTGGTGCATAATCTGGGGGTCTTCCTGGACTCTCAAATACTTTTGAAGGAACAGATGGCTGCTATCAACTGCACCTTTGGACTGCAGTGATTTTTTAGCATACCAAGGACATGGTACTTGTAATAGATGCATAACATATAAATAAGTATGCCAAGATTTAAATGATTTGTTAAGCATGTGGAACAACTAACAGTATTTTCTGTATCTCTGCTGAAGGTCAGAGAGATGAATATATACAAAACAATATCTGAAACTCCCTACCAAGAAGAGGTTGATGGCAGAAAACTGCTAGCATGTTGGAAAGAATGCCTAAAGAAGTCTGATTACTACAACAGAAAAAAAGCTGTTGAGGAATTTAATAAACAAAATTACTGGAAGAAGAAAGGAATTGCAATCATCCCCATGAAGTATTCAGTTGGATATTATTCCACATTTTATCACCAGGCAAGATGTTCACTTTTTAGAAACTGACATTTCCAAAAAAGCAGAATAATCGTAACAGTAAGGGAAACAGAAGTTATGAAGGGATGGGTGAATTTCGTTTGGGAAAATGCCACAAAGGGAAACAATTTTCTTTTCTCCAAAGCTTATGCGCACTTTCTTCTGCTCTTTAACATGAAAAGAAAATTTGTGAAAGATCCATTCACAGTACATATCTTCTGCCGTCTGACTTGTGTTCTCAGGTTCCCCCAATTATGTATGTATAATACGGTATATGTAAGAATCTATTCTATATATTTATATGTAACACAATTTTTATGGTGCATTGCTTAGGAACAATAATATTACCTTTCTTATAGGGGTGCAATAAGGATTACTTTTCAATATTGTGAAATTTTAATTATTTGAGAAATCTTGAAGAGTTGGCCAATCCTACATTCAAAGCTAAATCTTATAGAAATCACTTCACTAACTTGAAGGGCACTTCTCCCCAGGCTCTAGCTTCAATCCTCATCCTCTCTGTAGCATTTTCATGCTTCTATGCAAACATCCCACTTTCCTCACTGTGCTTTGTCCTCCTGTTGAGCCAAGTGGTGCCTCCTCCAAAAGGTCAGTAAGGAAGTGCAAAAAAACAAAATTGAGGGGTGCCCTGCCCCCCTCTTCTCTTGCGAAGTCCACCATCAGGATGAAGAATGAGGGGAAGTAGCAAGGTGTCTCATGGTCCTTGGCTTTAGGAGGGAGGTGGAAACTATGAGGACAGGAAGGCAGAACAAAGGAGGTGTTCCCATCAGTAAGAAATCTCCTGCCTCACAACTCCAGAGGACCTGCTGCCAAGTTTGCTGGAGAAGTTAATTAGCTCAGTTTGCAAAGACCTATGCAACACCTCTGGTATTGTGCAGCCACTGTGTGCAGACAAAGTGTTATGCCAAAGAAGAGCATGTAGGAATTTTTCTGTGGTCATTTTAAAGTAACATGACTGGCTGGAAAAATATTGTCCATATTTTGCACCTATAGCCTGAAGAAAAGACTTGTTTGGAGCTTCTTGATTTAGCCTTCTTATAAATGACATAATAATGCATACAATCCCCAGCCCTTACAATATGTGAACATTTACAGCAAACTGAATAAAGGTAGCATTCAGTATTTATAAACTGCCCTGAGGAATTCTCAGTATAATCTTAAATTCTGTGTCCAGTCTGGTTAGGATCCAAATAATGAAGAGAATCAGAATATATGTCAAGTATTTCTGCTTCCTGTAGATATTTTTTTCAGGTGAGACAAAAGTGATAATTAGTCTAAATAAATAAATAGACAGTGGGCTATTCATTCATTCATTCATTCATCACTGACTGACTGACTGACTGACTGACTGACTGACTGACTGACTGACTGACTGACTTGTAATGGATTATTTCCTTTTACTCCAATGTTGTTTCTAGCACTGTAAATCCTTCATTTTAAGACAATC